GCATGTTCTCCTTGGGCATGCGTGGGTTTTCTCCGGGTACTCCAGCTTCCTCCCACTGTCCATAAACATGCTATCAGCTTGATTGGTCTTTCTAAAATTGTCCTTAGGGGTGTGTGTGTGTGTGTGTGTGTGTGTGCGTGCGTGCGTGCGCATGATTGTTTGTCCTGTGTGTCTTTGTGCTGCCGTGCAATGGACTTGCAATCTGTCCAGGGTCTACCCCGCCAATGACAGCTGGAAAGAGGCACCAGCAACCCCCCCATGACCCTGCGTGGAAAAGCAGGTTACGAAAATGGATTGATGAATGCATCTCCATTTTTTACTTAAATTCTTTTTACATAAATCAGCTCTGTAGGTCATCTTATGCACTTACCTTTGGTTTTGTGGATGTCTTTTCAAACAAAACAGTTTAAAGGTTTGCACCATGTGACAACACTGTTTATTTAACGTAAAATTAGGGACGATCTAATCAGATCTTGTGAACGGAAATTGGATCATGTGATTTTCAAATGATGGAAATTGGGTGGAAAAGATGAGATTTAGCCTTATAAAACAGTTAGCACATGTCTTTTAAATTCATCCTGAGATAGTTTTTCAAACTTAAAAACAGTGGCACAGTTTTCATTTTAGCAAGTTTCATTACATCAATATTCATTGTTGCCTGGACGGACGGCAACCCCGTAACGACACACCATTTACAGGAGGCAGAGAATTTAGACAGCATAACATCAGGCTATTAGCTAGCAGGCTAATGCTGAGCTAACATGTAGCAGTTTAGATGCATTTTAAATTAGAAGGAAGGGTAAAAGCCACTTGTAATGTATTTGGGCATTTTATGTGGTGTAAAAGACAAAGCTGCATTCCACATTACAAATCTGATATGACACCTTAAAAATAGACTACTTTTGGCTTTTCCCTTCAGGCATTGCCTCGGCGAATCATCGCTCTCCTTGTAGTTCTATTCTGCTACCTTAAAAACAAACATCTCGCTCAGTTGCCTGCAGCAACTCGGACAAAACACGGAGCCAGCCGACACTAAAAGATACTTTAAAAACAAGGATAAATTGCCTACAGACAGCAATAAGGTCACAGTCAGTAAAGTGGTAATTATCGGACTGGATTATTGTATGTGGTGAAAATGTCGTGCTTTGCGGTCTCCAGGAGCTGCGGTATGAGCTGTTTTTTCAAGACTGCTTTACAGATGCAGCTCTAAAGGTGGTGTGCTGAGAAATGCCTTCCCAATGTGTCATGTCTACCTTTGTTGCAGAAAGATGTCTTTATTTCCTGACAGCAGCGATTAATGATAAGAACTTTTAATAAGTCAATATTGATCATAATACACAGTCTAGTGCATCCTGCACAGTGACACTACTTAAATGTTATTTTGACACACTATGTCAGGGTGTTCCAGGTTCCCCTGAAAAGGATGTGTCATTGCCTCATGTCTTGTTTTGACTTTCACATAAATACTTCATAATGACCCAACTAAGTTCTGATTGGTTGGTAGCATTCTCAGTTAGAGGAAGCTAAAGGTCTAGGGTTTAAAAAGAAGTTGTGGTGTTTTTCCTCATTGTCTTGCCCTCTTCTCCCATCAGATTTGAGAGTAAGAGGCAGTTGTTATTATAAATGACACACACACACACACACACACGCACAATGTCCTAATCAAAGCCAGGCTCTGCACATTGTGTCCCAGTTGAGTGTCTATTTTTATCTAGTGGTGTAAAAGAGGGGACGGACTGGGTCAGACAGGCTGGGCCAATGAGTTTATCAACACCAGCAGTTAAACAGTGATGCTGCAGGACAAATAAAACACACACACACTGCTTACTTAAACAAATAACCCAAAGATCACTCTGTATCACTAATGCAAACTCACATTGGCCGCCTCCTGTTACTGTCGTCACTTGCTGACTCTGACACACACAGCCGAACACACTCTATGAATTCAAACAACACCCGGTTGATAAATTGCACACAGTAAATGTCAGTGTTTGTAATAGCTCTCGCTCCAGCAGTTTGCTGTCAAGCCAGCTAAGAGGAGCACTGAAAACGGCCTGCAGTATGACTAATCATGATGAATATAAATGAATTACTATTAGTTCCTAATAATAATCTATTTATATAATTTATAGCAAGATAAAATGAGACTTAACCACAAAATGTTTTTGTGTTGATGCAAAACCAATTGAGACATGGCAGTAATTTAGATCCGTGAACGACACAAACTCCAAATAATCTTTGATTTGGATTCGCTCAGATTCTTGCCTCGTTTGGCTCCCGTTCAACTGTCTCTCTAGATATTTCAGTTTCAGACAGCTTGTAGACTAATGTGCTCTCCTTTTTAAAGGCTGCCAGTATAAAACAGTAACACATGCATTTACAACCTCCCATCTTCTTTGAACATCCATATGCATCTGTCATAAACATGCAGACTCAATTATTCATCTATGTCTCTGTTCACCATCCAGATACATATGCAGTCATATACTGCTCACAGGGCCATGTGAAAGGCATTTGGCAGGATGGAGGTTCAGCTGGAGCTTGTATCTGACAGACAGAAGAATCTAGCATCCAGTTTGCTTTTACACACCGCTTTTGGATTAAACCCAGCCTCATTATTTCAGTTTTTCATCATTTAGCTTATAGTCTATCACAATCTAGTGATTAGAGATCGACCCATATGGGTTTTCCTATTACTGATACTGATGCCGATACGTAAAGGTTATAATTAGCCAATTGCCGGTATGTGCTGCCAATTTTTTTTCAGGGACGTAAATATACATTTCTGCAGCACCACTGGGCTGTCTGCTGATGTGCCTGACTTTAAATCAGCACTACAAAAGAGGTACAGTATATTGGCTTATGATCAAGGATGCACCGATATACATTTTTGGGGGGGATACCAGTATTCGATGTAACGATTAATTTTACATATTATTTAATGAACCATAAGACATGAGATTCCATAGAAAATATGAAATCAATCTTATGGACCTTTGGATAATTTTAACCAGAAGATTGGAACTTTTTATTGCAGGGATTATGTAACAACTTCGTATTAACTCAGAGACAAAAGAAAGAGAGTCAAGTTTTAAAAGTTTAAAGATTTATTACTAAACAAATAAAACCAGACTAACTTAAAACACTAAATGTATGGTGTAACTAAGGTGAAGTGAGACGGAGAATGGTGTGGTGTGGAATGTTGTTCAGAATCAGCAAATCCGGAGAAACGATTAGTTCCGATGGGAGTGAAGATGATGTTTTCGCGCTAAGCTTTGATTTGGAGATTCATAACACACACATTGAGACGCCATTCTGTCGGTCTACGTACCCTTGGCAGAAGTCCCCGTCTAGATCAGGAGGTAGAGGTCCAGCTTGGACCTTTCTGGAGCCGAAGCCTGTAGAACAGCCGTGGCCGCCGACCAGTCCAGTCTTTGAGATACTTCCGGGTCACGACAGTTTATCGGCATCTAGCAAGACCCAAAACGGGGTCGTGATGGTTCAGCTTTTATTCTGAAAGGAACCGTTGCAGCAGTTCGAACAGCAACAGATTTTATCCAGCTTGTCGTTGGTTCTTTCGGCTGAAAAGGAAAGTTGCGGATTGGCCACTCCGACAACTTCTCTAGAAAGCTTTGAACTGTAGTTAAAGATGACGTGGGCATAGTTTTATAATTCGGATATTTTGGTTTACGGTCAAATGGAAAAGAGGACAGATTTACCAAACACCACCAAAACCACGCCTCCGTCAGATCTGGACGATTCTGATTGGATCAGTAAAAGCAATGTGTCATGTGTCTTAACACTACGTGTAATCAGTCTCTAGTGGAAACATTTAAAGTTATATTACTTATTATATTCTATAGGATTATAATATCAAGTAATTAATATTTTCATTTCACAAATTGGTTCACATTTTATTATTGACTAACACTTTGTTTGATTAGCTTATTAAAAATAGAGTTCTTCGATTTATTAAAAAGGAAGGGTCCTTTGTTTTCATTATTCTCTTGAGCTGGAAAGGAAACAGTTTAGAAGCAGAGCGTGAGATCTTGAGGCAATATCTCATGCAGACTAGTTTTTGCTGAGGAGAGGAGGGGAAATGACTTTTAGGTGGAAAACAGTAATTTAATTCTGTTACACCGATATTACTATCACTGTTATGGCTAATAACCGATATTTGCCAATATCAACACACACACAAATATATACACACACACACACACACACAGACATTTACGCTTCTGAAATCAGCAGATTCTGTACAGACTGAAAATTATGCAAGCTGAATTTTTGAATGTTTTGCTTTATTTACATATATGTAAAGTGCAATTTGCAATATGCTATTATTTACACACACACCACACACATTTACGCTTCTGAGATGCTTACCAGATTTTTCTGCAAGTTTGAAGATGTTGTACAGCAAATTTGCTTTCTCATCTGATTGCACCCATCTGGAACTCCTTTCAGTGAGGTTCCTGTGAGTCGCAAAGTACAAGACATTTGAGACAACCTTCGGTGTGACACTTTGTGGTTAGCGGCAGGAAAATTAGCACAAATTAGACAGCTGTTATAGTTGGTCCTGTAATCATATGTCCCACATGACCTGGTCATCTATGGAATGTCTTGTTAAAGTGTTTTATTACACATTTAAGTCAAATTACACACATCTTATTGATTATGTATCATCTTGTCTGCTTCTAAGAGTTAGTTGACCTCTTTTAATAACTTCGAGTTCAGTGAGTTACGGCTTCATGATGTTTGGTTGAACTCATTGATTTAAATCAAGTGTGATGAACCATCTAAAACATGCAGGACAGTGAGAGGCCTTCAGAGACCAGGACTGGGCATTACTTCTAATGCATTTAAAAAACACAGTTAACTTTTAGCTTAAAAGTTTTTTATGCCAACACAAATAAAAAGAGCTCTTTATCTGTTTGCTCCTCCATTGGAGTAAACCATTCTCACCAAAGCTAACATTGTTTTAATTGTGTTTTCAGGTGCGTAACTTATGTTATATGGTGACACGGAGGGAAAAAATGAAGCACAGCCTGTGTGACATCCAGGAAAAGATCTTCCACCTGCAGATCCAGCTTCTAGAAGAGGACATGGCTGGAGGTAGGATGGGAACCTGTGCCTGTGGAGCACTTTAACTCGGCAGTTTTCATCCACTCAACATTAATGCAGCCCTTTAAATCTAAAATAAAATCAAATTAAGGAATTTCCTTATGTCTGACTGTTGTGGGAGGACAGTTTTGTAAATGGCCTGTCATTATTTTTGCAGCGCAGAGTGGCGTTTGACACCTGCATACTCAGAACTATTGGAATAAAACTACTTTCACATCAGTGCAGCTCAATTAACTACTTTACACAGACTGTGCCTTAGTGGATTAATGTGGTGAAGTAGAATATCAGTTGAGTCTTTGTTGGCACCAGTCGTTTGTCAGGCTGGAACGTTGTTTTCATGTAACCCAAACCAGACTCCACCATGTAGAGATCATGTGATTCTAGACTTGAGGTTGTTGGCTAAATGTCAGAGCGATGAAAGGCCTCCCTGGTGTCTGATGGACTAAAACACGTACACAGACATCAGCCCAGTCAGCAACCATTAAAAGAATGGATCAAGTCGAATCATACACTAATTTTTTTTCTTCCTTTCATTAGTTTCCAGATTTCCCAGCAGCTGTTAGCTTAGCTGTTGAGTGATGGTTGTTTTGTAGATAATCTAGGGCTTTTATAGCTGAAAGAGTCGTGACCTGCCGCTGACATGAGGATGACAGTGAAAGCTTGTTGTCATGGTGATGCCACTAATATCTTGCTGGCATGGTAATGATAGTGAACTTCTGTCAGCTGGCCCCCGTGGCTCTGTGTCGTGTGAATGGAGAGTTAAATTTGCAAGAAAAACGACACACACACACACACACACACACACACACACACACACACGCCTGCACCCTCAAATGAGTTGAAATCTTCCACACTCCCAAATGAATGCACACACACACAGTGCAGGGCTGCTGACTCAGCAGATTCCTGCCATCAGGTACCCGGAGCTGTGCTGCTGGCACTAAACAGCCATATCTATTCACACTGCCACAGGAGTTAGATTAGAGCGAATACTTTGTGTGTGTGTGTGTGTGTGTGTGTGTGTGTGTGTGTGTGTGTGTGTGTGTGTGTGTGTGTGTGTGTGTGTGTGTGTGTGTGTGTGTGTGCGTGCGTGCGTGCGTGCGTGCGTGCGTGCGTGCTTGTGTGGGTGTGTGTGAGTGTGTGTGTTTGTGTGTGTGTGAGCAGTAACAAGTGAAGAATGGGGCTGTCTGCTAGAATGTCCTTCTCCATCTCCTCTTCCTGTTTTCTGCTCTCCATCTCACTCCCTCCTTTTCTCTAATTATTTTTCTCCTCCATCTGCTCTGTTTCTCTTCTTTTGCCTCCAAGTTCTTCTCTCTGTCTTTTTATTTTGGTTTTTCCAGTCTGACAGCTCATTGTTAACCTGGTTTTTCCACACAAACTAGTTTTCAGCATGACACTCAAGTGAGAATAAAACCATTGCCTGTGTTTGATTTTTTTAAATGAAAATATTACATTAAACTATGTTTCTTCTTGTTGTTGCAAAGCAAGAAGGGGAGAAACATAAAAAGAATGACCAAAAGTGACCAGTTTTAGCATTTCAGAGCAGTTTTGATGTTTGCTTCCTTGCATGTTTCATTGTTGCATGCATGTTTCCTTTAATATAAGTGAACACCTGCTATAATTTACCATTAACACAAACTTTACTACTTAAATATATTTTGAGAAAATGGGATTTCATGGGGTGGTTACATGTTTTATGAATGGGTTTCTACAAAAATACTTAAGATGTCTCATGTTTCATTTTGCACAGCATAAAAACACCAATCTGTACTCTTGTATATACTTCTAATGGCCAAACATGTATTACTGTAATTTGACTAAAGTATAAGATAAAAGCACCTGGTTAGCTTACCTTGAAAGGTGCTGGTTAGCATGTGGTAAAAAAAATTGAATTAGTTTACTGTAACTTCCGCACCAAAGATACAATCATAATGGCCTCATTTATAAATACTTCATTACATACATTACCCCTGGATTTACTAGATAGCTGCATGTGACAAGCACGTCCTCTAGGAGGCGATATCCATCCAAACCGAAGAACTTAAACCCATATTTATGATTTATGCACCTAAATAAGCTCCATTTACCACAAGTCACCAAGATGGGGCATGGCCTTTGAGCTGGGGGTTAAGCACCCGGAGTAGTGTTAACAAACAATTTAGTTTTAGTCTTACTAGAAATTTAGAACACTGCTGAATGTCTCTCCATGAATAAAACATATTTGTTTGTCAGAGTTTTAGTTACTTACCAGGATTTCTAGCGACAGAGCCTTGATCTGGCAAATCGGGGTTGTCTAGTGGTCATTCCCAAGGAAGTTTTTGTTATTAAACTTTTTTTAATGTATTTGCTGGAAGAAGAAACTCCATGCATGCAGCCACACTCATAGCATTACTGCTATTGATATGGTGCACAACGTTTCTATTCTAGCTCAGACCCAACTGTCACAAGCTGACAGTCAGTATTGGCCTCTGTGATCTGCTTTCTGTCTGTGTGTGTGTGTGTGTGTGTGTGTGTGTGTGTGTGTGTGTGTGTGTGTGTGTGTGTGTGTGTGTGTGTGTGTGTGTGTGTGTGTGTGAAGTTTTGGCAAAGATGGAGAAAAGGAGGATAGGTAGGGACAAGAAGGTAATGAGAAGGAGGAGGTTGAGGAAGACAGGAAAACTGGAGTGACCATTGGAGAATGTGTGAGAGAGCAGATGAACAAATGGGGAAAGAGAAACAACTTTCATTGCACTAATGAGCTCAGGTAAGAAATGGGACACAGCAGCTGCACACACACACTCACACACACACACACACACACAGAAACACAAACTGCAGTTCAGTGCACCTAGAAAGAGAGAAACTTAATCACACTTTTCAAAAAGATGAATCCCCGGGTGCTGTTTCTGCTTCTAAACAAGAGATGGAAGGATAATGTTGCCGAGATGGAGCAAAAGGACAAAAACAGTCTAGAGACAAAAGTGAAACCATCTTTTTTTCTTTTTTACAGCTGATAGTTGGATTTGTACAGAGATTACAGCCTGCAGGGGGAAAGTTTCCACACATACAAGAAAAAGCCTCCAGGTGCCCTTGAAATCCCAAAAAAGTAGTTTTCCTCATTTTTCGATGATATAAAAGAACAACATGACATCGGGAGGGGCTAACAGGAGGAAAATAACTTTGAATGGTTCCTGGGAGATGAAAAGATAAGATGGTGCTCCTGTAAAAAAAATGAATTTAGAAACTGTGTAAAGAGGCATTCCCTGTGGGAGCCCTCCTGCTGTTAATAAGCTCTGCAGTTTCTGAAACAGCTATAAAATAAATTGGAATAAAGGGGGAGATATATTTAGTAAACGCACAAGCACCCCTTCTCAGTTCCCCTCATACCAAAAAAATAGACTTCATACGCACCTCCAACCTTCACGGCTCTGTATGTCCTTGAAGCCTGAGAGGGATTTGTTTGACTTCTAACTCTGCTTGGTTAAAAAGACTCCCTAAAAAATTCTGAGGTAAAAGTGTCATTTACTGTTATTTCATTACCTAATGAAAGTAAATAATATTTTTAATTCCTTCAAACAGATTTCTCACTTCAGATGAAATAATTGGCACAAATCACTTTTTAGTTTAGTCACATTTTTCCTCATACTAAATTTTTTGATGGATTCATGGAGGTAACTTACTCTGTAATCCGTACGCGCCCAGGTTGTTTTCAGGTGTGTGTGTCTTGTTTTTCTTTTTCATCTCCCGTTTGATAAAAGATGAAACCGCATGAGCGTGTTTCTGAGTAAAAATAATTAAGAAATATCTATTTTTACCCGAAAGGCCAGGTTGAGTATCAGGAGTGTCATAAGAGGATCACTAGACTTAATTCACTAATCAATTCCACTCTTGTTTTCCTGTCAATGCACTCTTGCTCAACCAGATGTGGTCAATAAAATCAATAATTAGGAAGAGTATTCACTCTTGAACTTGAACAACTAGAATATCGTACAGAAGTTAATTTATTTAAGTAATCCAACCTAAAAAGTGAAATCAATGACTGTTAAAGTAACTGACAAATCCTGCACACTGTCACCTGTAGGATTCTCAATAGCTTAATTAGAGCCAATCTGTGAGGATGAGGGGAGATGATTGATGGTCAACAAATTAAGACGATGTAGCTATGAGCTAACTGAGCTAATCGAAACTAACGCAGGTTGGCGAGAACTTCTGGAGACTTTTATTTTGTCAGAAGCTGAAAAGTTTGGGAAACACTGGCTGGGGCTTTAGCTCATCAGTCATATAGGACATAAAAGCTATTTATCCAAACAGAGGCTTTTCATATCTATCTGTTAGAATTAAGAGTTACTATTTAGTTTCTTGTATTTCTTTGTACTGTTCTCTCACTTGTTCTCTGACTTACAACACACACACACACACACACACACACACACACACACACACACACACACACACACACACACACACACACACAGTCACAGTATTAAATCTCTCTGTGGTCTCTTTTTTTCTCCAGTCATGCATGTTCTGCTCCTCCATGCTATAGTAAGCAGGAACTGGACCTACTGCTGGATATGACCGACCCCCCACACACACGCACGCACGCATGCACACACACACACACACACACACTCTCTCTCTCTCTCTCTCTCGCTTTCCCTCTCTGTACAGAGCTGCTGCATTTTTCTGTCCTTTTTGTGTGAAAATTAAGCAGTATTCATTTTAACGGTGGGCTCAGAAGCATCCCCACCTCTAGATTCTGAAAAGAAACCTTTTTTTTTTTTTTTGGAGGATAAACACTTGTAATTGTGCATGTGTAACAGATTTACAGTTCTACCCTATCCTTCATTTTTTGTGTTTTGTTCCCAAGGAGTCGTAATTTTTTTGTAGTCATTCCTTGAGCAATAGTTCTGAAGGTCTTCTAAAGCTTTCTTTTGGACTTTGGCAAATCTTTTACTGATTTTTGGTCCAGTACCTGCCTGTTTTAACATTTTTTGTTTAGTTAGGACACT